GGGAGAGGTTGGTTTGGCTTCATTAACATCAATAAGCTTCAGTAACATCAACATGCTGATGATACCTGGCGTTACATCTTGTTTCCAGGCCAAAAAGGCAATGCACAGGAAGTCCTGACCCAGTGCTTGGAAGCTGTGAGGGACTAGATGGAATAAAACAGATTGTACTTGAATTCAAGCAAGACAGCCATAATTAGCATAGAAAAGCTCTGGTTCTATGGAAGTTCCATTGATTGTTCTTGATGGGGTTGAACTTCTCCAGAAAGTGCCAGTGGGTAATCTGGGGATTTCTTGGATGTACAACTCCTGCTGGAACAGCAGGTAGAAGCCATGGCCAGAAAAGCCTTTGGCTACACAAAGAGGTACCTAATGGGGCTACTTTCAAAGATGACCTGAAAGCTGCAGCTGGCACAAGACACAGCTGCTAGTTAGGGAAATTGCTGACCTTATCCTCTTTGGATTACAGATTCATTTTGTGGATGGTGGTCAAGATTAAAGCAAAAAACTTCTTTGCTTCTCTGAGCACAACATTCCATTTATATGTGGAAAAAATTCCCTTTCTTGAGATATTTTAAAAACTTTCCGCCTGATAGTTGATAGCTATGGTTCTTGAAAAAAATATTGAAACAAGGTATTTATGAAAGGGATCTGATCTCATAACCATTCTTAGGACCTACTGTGTTCTTGAGTCTACTATGGTTTCAGTCTTTACCACAGCCAAGAGAAAAGGTTCAGATTCTCTCTTTTTGAAACAACTGCCTGATGCTGTGTGTGTGTGTGTGTGTGTTCATATTCCCCAGGGCTTCATTTGTCATGCTAGCTGTACCTGCCACTTTTTTCACTTAGTTTATTTTATTTGGTTCATTATCTCTACCTTACAGTCTTAAACATTCTTTACTTGGTTTAGTTCAGGAGCAGGCAATCTGGCAGGTCTCAGATATTTTGGACAATATCTCTAAATGAAGACCATACTGTTAGCCATTTATAATAGGCGCCGTAGTCTAACAGTGCTCAAGGACAATCCATTAACATATGTTTAGAACAAAGTTAATTTTGTCTGCTTCTTATGCGGCGAAATGTGATGGCATCACTGAGAAGACCTATTTCTAGGTTGTAAACAGGCCTAAAATGTACATATGGGGGGAAAAAGTTAATCATATATTATATTGTTTTATATATTTCCTTTATTTGTGTTACCCAAGTTAATCTGTAATATCAATACCAGTGACCGTAAGCATGCAGACCTGTTTTTCAGCTTGTGTCCTGGCTGATTCTTCTTGAGCTAATACCATTTCCCGTTCTGCAGTTATTTGTACACTCTCTCTCAGCGCTTCTTCTAGCTCCTCAATTCGATCATCCTTCTTACGCAAACTATCCTGGAAAATGATAGGACACCAGATGAAGTAGCTTCTAGAGCAAATCAGTCAAGTGCGAGGTCACCTACAAAGGAGTTTCCAGCAATGGAATTCCACAAAGTTAAGTATCCATACAGAAGAAAATCACAGATGTAAAGTGAAGAAAGAGCTGGAGTAAATTCACAGCCAAGACAAACGTTAGCAAATTAAGATGAGCAATAGCAGTGCTATTAGTGTTAAGACAGCTAGAGATGGAAAGATTGTTTTCTGTGCAAAAGCACATTTTCACATGCAGTAAAGGTTAGTAGAAGATGTAGATAAACAGCAAGCATTTACACTTCCTTTGCAGGTACTCTCAACCTGACAGTTCAAAAGCAAGAAATCAGAAGAAGCATGACTTGTAGTGACTTAAGAAAAACGGTCCTTTTTTCTAAATGAAGAATGATACTGAGACCTCTCAAAGACCAACCCCCCTCCATATAAAGATAAAGGATCTACTTGAAAAATCAGATGAAAAGCTGAAGGCAAAGGAATCAGATAAGTTGTATCTGAAACATTCTGTACTTTATGACTAGGAACATAATCTTCTCATGATGAAACACGTGTTTACAGATCAAAATAGTACATTAAATATTCATGTAATGTCTGAAAATATAACCAACTAGAGATGTTTAATCAATTCTGAAAACTTGAAATGCATTATAGCAAATGTTAGATCATTTTCTGCTTCTGAACTTGTAAACAAGAAACAGCTGCCTTTCCTTGTTGTTATAATAAAATGATCATATACAAAGTGCTTTGGGCTCAACTTAAAACTGTCAACTAAATGACAGGACAATTCTATAAGCACAGTGAATAATGCATGACATCATAATTACCCTGAATGGTATTTATATCAGAAATGGCCTGCTAGGCTTTTCTGAGTGAAAGATACCTATGTCTATAAGAATGATATTGCTAGTTCTGAGAAATATACACACTCAAAAAGCAGTATTAAGATAGGGAAACACTGTATGGCGAAGAGTGGAGTGCAAAGTCTTGATGTTAGTTGTATGGTAGTGGGAAAAGTTTGTTAGGTATATATTTTAATGAGAACCTCTCAAATGTGCATTTCCTGACCATTTTGCAAACTAAAACTTTGTATCAGTTTCCGAATTTTCTTAACACCAAATTATAAAATTGCATTACATTTGAGAAAATAGCTGGCAAAAACATACATATTAACACAAAATTGAATATAAAAATACAAGCATTAGAAGAAATGCATATATGTATGTATGTATGTATGTATGTATGTTTCTTTTTTAATTGGAAACTAGTAAGAAAATAGCTAGAATACAATGAAAAAGTGAAACTGAAATGGAAAGATTCATTCATTTCCTAGTTACTACTAATGGATGTGTATTGGAAAAGACAAGAGCAGAACGCAATATGGATCTAACACATGAAAAGTGTTCATATTTAGGATACTCTAAAGATGACCATCAAATGATCTTCATGGAGCAACTAGTATGGCGTCAAGAATACTGTACTTTTATGCCTTCTGCAGCTTTGTTGACTAAATTCTTACAATGTTGCTAAAAGCCTTAGAGTTAGAATTATAGTCAGTCTCTAAAAGACAGTCCTAGAAAATTACAGTATGCTGTTTGTTCTAAGAACACAGACAGGCAAAATACTCATTAGGTCGTCTAGGTTGTATCAGAATCCAGACTGTCACATTCAGAATCTTCAGTGGTTATCTTCAGTTCTGCAAAGAATTGTTTGTCTAGTACAACACATCTGCATAGTTATGTAGAAGCATTTGAGGAATAAAAAAGTCATAGCTATATAATGGATTTCTATGTACTTTGCATTTATGGTAAGAAGCAAATATTTTTGTAAATCAAATTAATCCAGTTAATTTCCACTTTCAAAAATATGAAATCTACAGAACACCGATAATTCTGTATCACGGTCAAGTAGTGGCCATTAATATTATAGTATAATCAGATTAACATTTAATTTGATGTTTAAATAAATTCTACATATTATACATTCAGAATTACCCACTCAAAAATACCTACACTACTATTCAATAAGTCATCTGGAAAAATTAAATTAAATCCAGGTGACAACTGTTTATATCACAAAACAATCAGTTACCAATAAATTATTTTTTGAGAATCAGTCATATGCCTAGGTTATAACTTAATTTCATTATTCTCCTAAATTAGGTTTTTGGCCAAAGGTATGGAATTTTTGCCTAATATCTTATTAAATTTGCAGTGAGCCATTCAGAAGTAAGCCTAGATATAGAGCAAACTATTTTGAACTACTATAAACTATTACTTGCTGAGGTAGCAGTCAGATCCACCATTCTTGCCATGGACCTGTTAGACACAGACTGAGATTTGATGGGAACACAACATCTATTACATGTAAACTCAGTTCTGAATATCCTTACCACAATATATACTACCTGTAGATATTCTGTGATGAGTCACTGATGACCAGTGGCTCTGTGAATGGGAGTAAATGTACACTGAATAAGTGTAAAATGAAGGAGTGTCAGGAAACCTAGAAAGATACTTACAGAACTAGTAAGAGAATATTTACTGAAGTTTGTGTGCCTCTCAATATCCCAGCAGCCAATTTCCCTTGTTTAGGCTTGCAAGATATTTAAATGTTATCTCTGTTTCCAAACTGAGAAGGGCTCCACTATTAGCTCAGTTCAATATTTTGCTATTGGCTGTTTCAGACGGCAGATAATAGAAAATGCTGCTCAGTGCTGCCAATGTGACATAGGAGCTATAAAATCCACTGTCCATGTTTTTCTATATTGCACTTTTTATAGAGTTCTTAGAGCCTGTTTTATTTATATTCATATAGTAAAATATCTGGGGTACACTGATCTCTTTGATTTACAAATTCTTTTCTCTGACCGGTTAGACTCCATCTTTCTGGATGTTGCTAGGTTTTGCTATACTGCTTCCAAATTTAGGTGGGAATTGACATATCTGGATTGTTGTTGCTTGTTGACTGAAAGAAAAGAAACATCAGCTGACAGATGGTAAAGGATTTTCTTGCTATAAAGGTTGCCAATTATCTCATTAATTGTTTCAGGTTTGTTTTTTTCCTGTAATTCAATTTTTGTGTTATGTTTTATTGGTGTTTCTGCATTTTAGATTTTGTATTTGTGTTTTATTGGTCTGGGACCATAAATAAAATGAAATGAAAATGCTACGAACAAGGACATTTATGCTTGTCCCTTGACCAGAAGCAGCAGTTTTAGATTTAGAATTGTAGTGTTACTACTGCTACTACTACTACTTCTATTTTAGACTCACAGTTTTACTTTTTTGACTGTTCTCATTTTATGCTGGTCATTGACTGAACTAAGAACTGACTGACTACAGTGAAGTCCTATTTATACTTTCAGAGAGAGGGCGGGAGGGGGAGAGAGAGAGAAAGGGGGAGAGAGAGAGGTTAAAGTGTCAAAACCAAATGATTCACTCTTTTCAGAAGCTTAGAATATTATGAGGGTAAAGCTACATCTTTAAGTATGAAACGATCCTTCATTAAGAGTAAGTTTTAAAGCAAGAAAACAAGCAAAGCAAAACAGTCAAGTTCAGATGACCTTGTGTTACGTACGTGATAACATGTTACCTGCAGTTGCTGGGAGCTGTCATTAAGATTGTCTTCCCGCCTCCTTGCTTCTTCCAACATTTGTGCACTCTTTTTCTTCTCCACCTGTTCTTTGTGCTTTAGATTTGCTACCTTCTTATTCTGATCTTTAATTTGCCTGCAAATGGGAAACCAAATATTGAAACACTTGTGCAACCTACATACATGTGAAAATAGCAAGTACCGTATAAGAGTATTTTCACTCAATATGGATAACTTAGGTGATACCTGATTTTCCAGTTTCAGAAATAACTAGCAATTCTTTCTGCTGTCTCATTTCTAGAAGTAATCAAGTCTAATAATTTCTACCACTCTGTTTTTATTATAAACTACATGTGGGATTTCTCCTATAACTGAAAACAATTTACTTGTTTTTTTATTCCCATTTGTACTGACAAATTCTGGTTCCTGAAAAACTAACTTGTTTGTTCTGCAACTGTATGAAGCTTAGAAATTAATCTTTTATAGATTTTGACCAAACAGCAGCCATCCAGATTGCAATTCTAATAAACACAAAAAGATCACTTCTGTAACCTATGCACACACACACACACAAATTAGATTCCAAACTAGAAATTTCTTTGAATAATATGTAAAAAGGCTATAATTGTCCTCATTATGACAGACACTGAGAATTATTACAAAACTACATAAGTAATTTGCTTGAAAAATAGTGTTGGTTTAATAAAAAGAACACCCAACTTAGCTATCAAAATTTGTTAAAAAAAAAAAAAATAGTAGTCCATGGTTCATTTGTAAGGAATCTCTAAAATATACTCTAGAACTGGTGCTAATGAGGAAAGCTATTCAGTGGGGAAATCTATATTTTGTCAACACTCCAAGCAAGATAAAATTTTGTGGAAGAATTGGTTACTTACTAATATGGTTCTCTGAGTAGCCATTTATGAGTTCCCACAAATGGGCTCTGTAGCTGTGCAGAGCTCCATTTGGAACATTCCTAAGCTTGGGAATTTTGGTGAGACCTCCACATGCTTCATGCACAATTCTCACTAATCTTCTTAGTTCCCATCAAACTCTTTGCACCAGCTGATTCCCATGAATGGGTGAATAGTGAACTATCTATCTAGGAGATGGGTGAGTGCTCACAAAGTATGGGAAGAAAGGATCATTCTCCCAAATGCCACATCTTTCTGGACATCCATAGTTCTTGGTGTTGTTACCAAGTAGGCGCTCAACAGTTCTGGCAATAGGATGTACTGAAGGATCCAGAAGGGTTACCACAGCTGTGGGCAAATATTTCCCTTAATGTGAATTGGACATTGCTACTTTTCTAGATCACAGCAAATCCTTATGGTGGCTACAACTGCTACAATGGTAACTCTAGTCACCCAAGCAGGAATTTCTCTCTCCTGCAACTGGTGATTATTCAGCAAAAGGCCACTATTCTACTGGCATCAAGAGTGTGCAACTATTGCTCCAAGGCTATAGTATGTGTGTGTGATGGTGGTGGGGAATGTCCTGGCTCAGATGGAAGAGAGGCAGTCTATGGTAGAAATGAGATCTCAGGAAACAAAATGAGCTTGCCCTCATGCATTGAACAGTTCACTAGCTCAACTGGCCATTTTATAATTAAAAAGGCAGTTTTCCAAGACAGCAATAGTCTTCTGTCCTTATCTGAGGACAATTCCTCAAAAGAGGGTTAGGCAATACCATCAAGCCTTCTCCATCAGTTGCACTAGATCCAATGTAGCAGCTGAACCAGTTTTCACTACCAGGACCTTCTGTCCAGGACTCTGATCTACACTTATCTGTGCCATTCACCATTTTGAGGAGTTAAATATGAGAATGTAGAGAGGCACTGAAGCATTCATTTGTAAAGGAGAACAACTTAAGAATAAGGTAGCCTAAGATGCCTGGATGTCCTGACCTCACAAACACCAGCTTTTATCTGGGCTAAGGTCATATTAAAATGTATTAGGCTTATCTTTAAGCTATGAATTCAGCCTAAGTTTCATTCACATAGAAGAAACCTTACTGGGAGGACAGCATCTAAAGGAGGAGGCAAGAGAGAACCAGAAGACAAGCCAAGTCAAGTTTCAGAAAGGTTCTACAAATAGATGGAAAAGTCACCGAGGCCTTGATGGACCATCGACTTCACCAAAACTAGACTGCAATCTCCAAGAAAGAATAGGCATAAATACGTGTTTAAAATTTTTATTTTTAAAAATCATTCCTACCAGAGGGACAGAAATCACCCCAAGAACACTTGCAAGAGGAGTGCTTCAAGAATTTTGAAAGGTCAGTCCCCAAATCCTCACTAAGCAAAATAAATATGTGAAATGAAAAAGAAAAGTGAACTGAAGAGTAAATACAGCAAAGGATAGAAAAACATATCAAAGAGAAAATAATTTGGAAATGTTTGTCCAAACATGCTGCAAACGTAATTGTTGAGCAAGAAAGAGAGTAATTGGAGACATACTAGTGACATACGCAGCGCATATATATTGAGAATGCAGTGCATATATATTAATACTTCATACTGAAAACCCACTTGTGTTACACTGTCTCTGATGAAGAACTAAGTGATTCTGCAGAACCTAATTATATTTGAATTCTAGTAGTATTCAATTATAGGATGAGCGCTAAGGTCAACGGCTGTATGTAGCGCATTGTATTTTTAAAATGAATACTTGTGCTGATTTACCAACACTTAGAGGCTTTAAATACTTTTAAAAATATGACCTTCACTTCAGAGAGCTTTAAGTTGAACTATGGAAGCTGTACGTCCCTTCACAACAGAAAAAGGAGAGCTTAAGTATTGATCAAAGACAAGTAAAAAATCTATGCACTTGGGAGGTAGAACTTCTAATGACCTGTCAGGAAACAGCAATTTATTTTCTGGGTTGTGTATCCTTACAGAACAATAGGTTAAAAGGGGAAGGAGAAATGAATAGAAGTTCTTCACGAACAAAGCTCCTATACCACAAATTGCAGAACCCTTTAATCTTCACAATCCATTAGCAGCTGCACTAAAAGGAGAGAGGGAGAGGGAGAGAGAGAGAAAGAACTCTAATCCCAGACTTGAATCTAAACATGTATTTGTGGAATCAAGTTCCAACATTATATTGTACTCTTTTGTGGGCTTCCAGCAAAAGGGGGGAAAAAAAGAAGAAGATAACCTTGGATCTCAAGTATACAATTCTTGGATTGCAGAAGTGGATTTACATGATTTAAAGCTCTTTCACGCATACCCCAAACAAGAAAAATGAATAAATCCTTTATATTGAAAACATTCTAGCTTTTTATGCGTACTTTTTTATTTTTCAGTAGGAAGCCCTTTATTTATAATGCATTTTTAGGTGATTTTCAAGACTGAAGTCTTGCTAATGCAATTTGGTGTTTTTAATATATAAATCAATTGTACATCTCAAGATTAACCCCATCACCATTTTCAAGAAGAAAAGAAAAGTATAATTTGTATTTCAGTGAGGTACTGTCTTTGAAAATAAAACACTAAAGTTGGCATTTATGTTAAATGTACCATTCCTTCAAGTTACATGCTGAGACTGAATATACAGTAACATCTTTCAAGAAGAGGTCAGTGAGAAGAAACAAAGATGTAACTGAAGTTTAATGCAATTTCAGAAATGAAATGTGTATAAATGTTCATGTATTCTATTAGCTCCTACATAAATAATGTATAATAATGCTACCATAACAAGTTTGGATTCCATGGAAGAGAAAACCTGACTCTAAATTCAGCTGTGTGAGGAAAGATTTTTTCTCTCCAAGACTTACAAGGCGAGGTCGCAAAAAGCAGAAATATCTTTAACAACTGTCAGTATAACACAGTGCTTCTCAACCTTGGCAACTTTAAAATGTGTGGACCTCAACTCCCAGAATTCCCCAGCCAGCATCTTACAAGATTCTGGAAATGTGGCTTTACAATGAAATAGAATTAGTTCATCTGGTTGTGATTCCTATCTGGTTCAACCTTTGAGGCTGACATCAAGTCTGAAAGTATAATTCCCCCCACTGCTATCCAGTTGTGGGCTATACTGTCCCTTATCTGACCGTTCCTTTGGCAACATCTCTTTGCCCAGATTCCCAAGATCTTTCCCACATACCATCAGAATATTGAGCTACAAATTATGGTATATTAAAAAGAAACAGATTTGCTTTTTAAATTACATATTAATGGTAGACACTGTGCTTCTTCAGATATTGCTTAAACTACATCTCTCAGCATCTCCTTCCACTGGTAATGCTAGCTAGAGATTTAGTTATACTTTGCAACATCTGGAGGGCTACAGATATTTATATTGTAAACACAGTGAAGAGGAACTGTATTTTGAGTTCCACAGATCCAGATAATTACATTTTATTTATCTATTGTATCTATTCATCTACCAATCAAATACAATAATAATACCAAAATTAAACTAAAACAATATTAATACAATTAAACAACAATTAAAAGAAAAAAATGTGTTCTACCACTTTTTAAATAGTGGCAGAGTTTAGGTCAATCACTTAGGGAATACATAGTAAACCTAAGAGCCACACCGAAGTAGGTCCATTCCAACAGGCCAGGTAGACAAGACTCCTGTAGCAGGAGCATCTTCAAAACAGCCTATTATGCTGATCCAACTAAGTGGACAGCTTCAGCAGGAGAGGTGGTCCCATAGCCATTTCGAGCTTTAAGGGTCAGTACCAACACTCTGAACTGTGCCTAACAGGCAAGCGGTAGCCAGCGGCAGCCAGTACAGTTCTTTGCTGGACAGCTGCTTCTGCATTTTGCACCAATTGCAATTTCTGGACACATTTTTATAGCATGTCCCAATATTCAAGACAGGCTGTAAACAAGACACAGATGACCATTGCTACATCTGAGCCCTAGGAGTAATTGTGCAAATGTGCTCCTTGCCACAGCCTCCACTTGCAAATCCAGTGACAACTGGGGATCTAGAAGCATTCTCAAACTGCTCTTTCTGAGGAAGTACAGATCAATCCAGCGTAAGCTTCATTTCAATCACTGAACCCAGCTTTTTTTCTTACCAACAGAGCCTTGTCTGGATTTAATTTCAGCTTAGCCTCTCTCATCCAGCCCATTACTGAGGTTAGGCAACATTTTTCCTTGGAGTTAGCAGTAGAGCA